GAACACACAGGAGACATAAAGGAACAGATGGGGGCTGTGATGAGGTTGGCCTGACTAGAGCCCAAGATGCGTATGAGGGAGTGGCAGGAGATGAGGCTGTGATAAAGGCATGGGGTAGGTCACGCGGGGCTTTGCCTGCCGTCCCAAGAAGGTGGGACCTAAGTCAAGGTTTTCAAACCCTGTTTAAATGGCAGAATGCTTTGGTCAAAACTTTTTAGCCAGCACCCCAATTACAAAACAGATAAAAATGATACAGCTTTAAACTAAATGTGAGACTGGTACTTCCTCTGTCTTGGTCTTCCTCATCCCTCCAGGCCACCCCTGAAGCAATGCAGAACAGAGTTTGAGAACCACCTGCAGCAAGTGAAGCAAGTGACAGTGATGCAAGTAGGGGGATGTGGCACTGAGAGGTCTCGAAGGGCAATGCTGTGGTTCCCAAGCTTCCAGCTTTATTTCGAAAGTGACAGATACAGAAGTGCTTGGTACCTAAGAGGTACTCAGCTTGCGTATCTGAGTGTATGTGTATGTGTGTGCTGCATTTGATGGGTACTGCCCTGGGAAGGGCAGGGGTTAGCAGTCAAGAATATTGAGTTTTATTTTGGACAAAAAAGATTAAAGGTATTTTCAGAATACCCACAAGCAGAGATGTAGTAGGCACTTGAAAATGTAGGTGTGAGCCCTGGGCAGTGGTGAAAGCTATAGTTACAGACTTAGGAGTTATTGGTGTATAGGTGATAGCTGAAGCCATGGACATCAGTACAATTGCCTAGAATTAGATGGAACATGATGAAAAAGTAGGCAGAGCCCTGAGGACCACTGACAATTAAAAGACAGGTCAGAGAAGAGAAGCTACAAAAGGAGACTGAGAGAGACTGAGAGAGATGCCAGGAGAGGAAGCAAGTGAAGGCAGAATTTCAGAAACTAGGTAAAGAAATAGAAAATAGGCTGGACACAGTGGCTCACATCTGTAATCCCAACACTTTGGGAGACCAAGGTGGGAGGATCGCTTGAGACCAAGAGTTCAAGAGCAGCCTTGGGCAGCATAACAAGACCTCGTCTTTATAAACGACAACAAAGAAATAGAAACTAACCATACGCTTAAACATGGAATTGGTATTATTAGTTTGGTTGCCTGGAAATGAAAAAGGAATAAACTAAATGTGAGAATAGTGCTTCCTCTGCCTTGGTCTCCCTCCCCTAATGCATTTTGTTGGCACAGCATATTCCTTTTAAAATAAATCTGCAGCATACCGATTTTTTTCCAGAAGTACAATCCCTTTAATATATAAGTATAGATTAGTCTAGCAAAATAAGAACAACTGAGCTCACAAGGTAAACAGTATCACTGTTGTTTAGTGGAACTTCTCCCTCTTCTCTCCAGGAATAAATGAATTCTCTGAAATTTCTGCTCATCAGTCAAAGTGTTACATTCAATTGAGTATTCATTCTGAGTTTAAAATAATTCTGCAATGGAATGCTTAGAAAGTTGTGCTTTGGCAAATTGAAAATAATTTTTCTAAAGTGATGGGCTAATTTGAAATCCATATTCCTTTTCTTGTTTTGATTTGTGCAGCTGAAATTGTAAAGCATATTCCTCTGTACTGTTCCACCTGTGACGTGTTCTCTCCCCTGGGGATACTGGGGTCTTCTAAAACCATTCATTATGGGGAGGGGGAGATGCTGGCACGGCTCAGTGAATGAATGGATGATGGACTATTTTCCATCCTAACTATTAGTCCACATCTTAAAGGTGTCTGTATTCAATGAACTGAAAAAGAAAACAAACTCCCGAGTAGTTAGAGATTAAAACTACTGCCCAGTCTTTCTCTTTCTCGTGGGTACAGTGTTGTGCACAGAATGCTGCTCTCTAAAACCCCATCATAGCAGCTGACTCTGTAAAAGCTTCTTGGGAAAATCTTTTCAAATGAATAAGCAATAGAACATGGCTTTTGAATTCCCAAAATCTCAGATTTTTTAGATTACTCAACTTCTGGATTTAGTTCAGTGTCTCATCAACTATTGACTGAGTGCTTACTATGTGCTAGGCACTGAGAAAATGTAGTGAATAAAACATTAGAAGATCCTGTTGTCATGGAGTATGCATTCCAGCCAGAGAAGACAGGGCAATAACAAACAAGGGTACAGTGTGTGTCCCTGGTGATAAGTGCTAAGAACAAAAATGAAGCCCAGCGAGGGACTGGAGAGTGATGGGACAGGGGCTGCGTTCTGGACAGGGTGGTTAGGGAAGGACAGGCAAACTGAGAGCTGAAGGAAGAAAGAGATGTTTAGGCAGAGAGTGCTGTCACATGCTTAGCTGCTGTCCCTTACAGCTCACCCCAACCAAGGCATGTGGAGATGCATTGCTTTGTCAATGCAAGGATCAGCCCAACCTAGAACCCTGTAGCCTTGTGAACATGATGATATGCAGCTTAGACAATAGCTGTTAAAAACCGACTCTTCAGGTGTTACTGTGAGACAATTTTTTGCAGGTGACTTTTAAATAAAACAGCTTCCATTATTCAAAAATCCAGAATGGCAACCAGCTCTTAGAAATGACTAAAATGACCTACCAGCATTCCCTGTTGTTGTCGTTTTTTTTTTCTAATGGAGACTTCTGCTGTCCTGCTGAGACCGTGTATTATATCTAGTTTCACATAAAAATGAATTTTTGCTGCTAAGTTTGAAAACTGCCTGAAAATAGCAATTAATATTGTAAAAGCTGACAGAACCTTAAGTGTAGTGGCATGATTGGTGCTGCTATAATTATGTGCCTGCGTGTGTACAGGCCGATGTAAACACAGTATAAAAACACACTTGATGCCCAGGACAGTGTAGCCGCATATTTTCTTACAGGTAAGTGAGGGTGAAGGGGAGAGGGAGAGAGGATTGATAGAATTTTTAGAGCACTGTTAGGTGGTGTAGAGCTTTCTAATCTTACATCAGTATAATCTTTCTGATTATTTTCACATTCTGCATTTGATCCTCACAATTTGTTGGGGGGAAAATGGCAGGGCAGGCTTTGTTCTTCCCATTTGATGGATGAGAAAACTCAGTGGATCAGCGAGGATGGGTTAAGGTTCTTATCTACAAAATGGAGAGATTGGACTACATTATCTCCAAGGTTCCCTCTAACTCAAAAGTTCTATGATGATTTTCAGATTGTCCTAAGGTGACACAGCTGTTTAATGGTGGAGACTCCCCTTAAATCCAAAGTCCTTTCTGCCACAGTTCCTCCTTATATTCTTCAAACCCTTCACTGCATGTTAAGTCATCTGTAAAATGCAATGTCTACTGTACAGGGTTGTTGAGCAGATCGTTGAGGGGATTAAAGGGAGGACTTGTGAAGCACCTAGCACAGTGGTAGCTATCATTATCATTGTCATCACTGTTACTAATAAGGAGACATGTAATTAGTGGAGAGAGCATTGGTGCTGGGGCTTCTGATCATTCACTGACAGAGTTGATAATACCTACAACACAGGGTGGTTTAAAGACTAAAGGAGGGTTGGGTGTGGTGGCTCACACCTGTAATCCCAGCACTTTGGGAGGCCGAGGTGGGCAGACCACCTGAGGTCAGGAGTTCGACACCAGCCTGGCCAACATGGCGAAACCCCATCTCTACTAAAAATACAAAAAAAAAAAAAATTAGCCAGGCGTGGTGGACTGTGCCTGTAATTCCAGCTACTCAGGAGGCTGAGGCAAGAGAATCACTTGAACCCAGGAGGCAGAGGTTCCAGTGAGCCAAGATCACGCCACTGCACTCCAGCCTGGGTGACAGAGTGGGACTCTGTCTCCAAAAAAAAAGTCTAAACGAGATGATGTTTATATGAATGCCTAGCCCAGTGTCTGACTACACTATACCTACAACATAGGGTGGCTTAAAGACTAAAGAAGAGGATATTTATATGAATGCCCAGTGTCTGACTACCAGGTGCTCAAGAAATGGCTGGCTGGTGTGAATGATAAACCACCTTTCATAAGAAACTCAGATATATTTTCATGATTCCCTCAAAACCTAAAGAGGCATTTCACAGAGGTGAAGTGTAACCTTGAGAGTAACAGAAGCATATAGCCATCTTTATTTACAAAAAAAGAAAAAGAAAGAATATTCTGAAGTTTGGCCATTCTGTACACATCTGAGAGGGAGGAAAAATCCACGTGTGTCCAATAGTTAGCAAATGGTCATTGTGAAGTTTCATGTCAGATGGTCTTCTGAAATCCAGTACATACTTTATTCAGGTCCTCCCATTCTCCCCACTGCAACAATCACATAAGATTGTGTGGATTATTTAGAAAAGCCTGTTTACCCTCATTATACCACTTTCTTTGAAAAGCAATCATGTGAATACTATGAGGAACTGCTTTGCTATAGTGATGACCATTATGAAGGATTCAATAAAGTTGGAAACCAAGATCCTGGAGCCTCTCTCTGACAGCGTGGTCACAGAAAAGGCTAGGGGCAGGACTGAAATGTGAAAACTCTCCAAGAGAAATTATGGTTACTTGTCTCTATGAAGGATTTCTTGGTACTGAATTTTCAGGGCACAATAAACTAGCAGATGTAAGCATCTGTTGTCACATGCCCCGGGACTGTGTTGGGGAAGTGTTGGCATGTGCTAAGGAGTCACAAGGTGAGTGGCATTGCCCTGGACCAGTTATTCTAAAATCTAGTCAATGGCTTAACCCATTGGACCTGAGACAATGCATATTGTTCGGAACACCGGCTTTCAACCACATTTTGTTTTTTATAAGCATTATTTGAAAAAGATAAAACACAGCAACTGGCCATTTGGATGTGAAATCTATTTTTTTTTTTTCTTATTTGATATATATCTCTCCTGGAAATTTTTCTCATTGTGAATGCCCATCCTGCGTAGACATCTCAAGAACAATCGAGTTTTTCTACTTGACGGCAGTACATTAAATGCTTTGACCAATGTCTGTTATGTTTGGTTACCTTCCAGTTTTAAAATGTGTGAATTTCCTTTTTACTGTTCTAGGGGAAAGCGATGGTATTTGCCCCACGCCGAGGGAATACTTTAAACCAGTTTTGCAATCTAGCTGAAAAAGCTGGTTTCTCTATCCAAAGACATGAAAATTATGATGAACACATTTCAAACTTCCACTCCAAGGTTAGTTTTCTGCTTGTGTTAGATAACACTTTAATCCGCATTGCATTTTGAAGAGATCATGGTCTTTTTGGCAGGTAACCTAAATATTTGATTAAAGTACTCCTTAGGTGTGTTGCTTCTGAACAGCTATTTGTATCTGATTATTTTGTGTGGTAAAGCCATCTTTTATCTTTGCATGTCTAGAAGGATTTTACAGAAACCGTTCCTGTTTACTCCTTTCTCTGAAACAAACTAATCTTTTCATTCATAATAGACTAATTTGTAGGATGCAAGGGGAGGTGACATAGAATGAATGATAAACATGCATTTATATTTTAATGAAAAACCTTCAGCTTTTAAGTAGGTTAAATGCTTAGCCGTACTGAAATAAATAGAAGGTGAATGTCTAATTGTATCATGTTGGACTGTAAATCTTTATCTCTGTTTGCTTTATAGCTGGGTCAGTTGGCAGTTTGAGACTGTTAAATCTCATACAGAATTTCACAGTTGTGGGGTTATATGTCAGATCGAGGCGCTACAAGATTTAGGTCAAAAGCACTTATCTGAGAGTGATTTCTAAGCCTGCTTACATAAAGCAATGTTATCAGCCTTTTTATTATTTATAGGTATAGAGCAATATAGGACACTGAGAGGCGAGTATTTCACTGAAAACTTTTTAGGATTCTCACATTTGCTAATACATGTCATAGTGACTAGTATAATATGTATTATTTCAGTAATTTTGTGCCTTACGGATATCTCCCTTCACTGAGCTAGTCTGACCTTGGCAAGAGACTTTAACTTGTCATGATTTCACAAGTTGTAACTGCAGAAAAATAAAGGCCTGACCTTAATTTTCTCCTGGGACAATGTGAACAGCATCCTTTATTGCCCAGGACTATAATATAATGTAGAAGTGTGTTGGCTTTTGGAAAAATATATGCAAAATTAATCTGATCTTCCAAGCAAGAGAAAGAAATTCTCACTTTCTGGAAATGAACTTATTTATTTGAATCTTTAAGGTTCCATTTAGTCTCTGGGGAAAAATGGTGCTTTGTGAACTGAAAGAGTTAAATCACGTCCTCTCACTGGTGGAGTCAGGCCCGTTGCTCACAATCAGAAAATAAAAACAGAACGGTATGTGATTCAGTCTTAGCGGCCTAGAATGATGTTTTCCCCTTTTCAACCCCTCCCCCTAAAAAAAGCGGGGCTTTACCTGGTAGGAAAAGGGTCCCTCCTGGCTCCCTGGATTCCTCCACCCAAAGGAATAATGTGGCTTTCTCTCCAGGGTCGGGCTGGAACTACAAGGATCAGCTGACAGCTGCTTCAATGTCGTGCCATTCACTTTCCCCCTAGAACAACAAATGCTTTTAGTTTCCCAGTGACAGCTCAGGAGAGCAAAGGCGTGGGTTTCTCCACCAGCAAAGATGTCCAGCATTGTGCCTGATACCCTCTGTCTCCTCCCTGAAAGATCTGAGAAGTGTTGGGACATGCCAGGCACGCCCATCTCTCCTTTGTCTAGAACTTTAGAGTGTTAGCGCCTGGTGGCCAGCACACCTCCTCTTTTTATTTCCAACGTTGTACACTACCCCTGCTAAGCGAAGCACATACATCTGGTCATAATTGCTGAAAAGTCAAATTCACAGTTTGCTGACATTGGTACATCGGTCTAAGAAATAGTTCTCTTCATTGTTGGGGGTGGGGAGAGTGTAGAACCCTTGGAGAATATTCTGCAGAGGTGGCATATCCTGGATAAAAGGTATAAACGGGTGCCCAAGATATATATTTTTTTAATAACGAGAGCGGTTTCAGCTGGTGTGGTATTCTGCTTCCAGCAAAAGAATGCCTCTGGTCCCTCCTGTGCCTGCTTCAACAGCAGGGATACTGTGTGCTGACCGGGCTGGCACGTGCAGTTGTGCTCCTTTGCAGGAGAAGGAGCTCGCCCAGAGGCTGGAGCAGTGAGCCGCGGGCCACGCTGGAGGGAGCGGGCAGCGTCGCTGCTCCTCGCCCAGCCCCGTGCCCTGCAGCAGGGCGCGAAGGCGGAGGCCCAAGGCAGCACCCCTGCCCACTCCAGCCTTGCCCGCCCGCCCGGGGCTCCGGGACGCGGCCGCCGGGAGCCTCCACCCTGGCGGCTTTTGTTGGCCGCGTGCTAATAGCCAGGGCTTAAAAGTTTTCCATCTTGAGCGGCAATCAGCTTTCTTCCTCTCCATCTCTGGCCAAAGCCCCCTCGTCCCTGGGACGCGCTGCTCCCCAATGGAGGAGCGGCGTTTTCCTTCAGGCTGCGTGTTATCCTCTTAGCCCTACTGTGTTGGAATAGAGCGTAACCAGCTGGAGGACTGTAAGACGCCTGATAATGCCGCTCTTTTCCGCTGTCCCGTCTTAATCTTGTTACACAAATGGTCGTGAAGAGATTCATGAATTTTAATTTTGCCCTCTGCATTAGTGCCTCGCGTCACTCATACACAGCTGCCTTCGAAGCCGAGTTTTTCACTCCTCCTCTTACAACAGGGGAAAAAATTAGTTACTTGGCAGTAGTGCAAGGTTAAAAAAAAAAAAAAATCTACAGATTTAGGCAACCACCCATGAAGCTGATTAACAGTCAGTGATCAGGAGGAACAGCTTTGCCTCTTAAACTTTTCACCTCTCATTGTTAACTGTGAAATTTTATTTCCGTTAAAAAGCAAGCCTGTAATCAAAACGGTGCCATTCTGCACTTTTCTGCCAGTGCTTTTGTTAAACTGTGCCCACACCATGCAGCCAGTGCGCTCAGGAACCAGGCAGCCAAAGGTGTAGTATGTTTTAAAAATATTGCTTTTCAGTCCATCCTTGCAAGGGGAGAAAAATAAAACACTTCCCTCTCCTCCCCAGCCTTTTGGTCTCCTCAGGGCTGAGAATGAAATTCATTGCCCTCATAGTGTGGTTCAAAACCTTTCGGATAGTTAGATAGCAAATCGTTTTGTAAGGTAGAGATGTGACTTCGAGATTACAGCTGGCTTGACACTAGTTGGTAAAAATACTCTCATTCATGCAAATGTTCTTTGAAATATAATTTTACATGCCGTGGTTTTTTTTTTTTTTTAAACTTTCGCAAAACCACCCTGAAGTGTTTTTCTGTATTTTTGTACATTGCTCTGAAAATAGGCTTGGGCTGGGCTGTGAAGTCAGTACATTGTGTTAAAAACACGGCCATATTGCACTTCTCCTTATCTATTCAAAATGCCACATTACAAGTGGCTGGTGCTTCTAATCTGTGTGGTGTGCTGTTGATAATTGTGGATACTGTAAAGGGTAAACAGTCTGAACTCCACTCCTGCTGCTGCTGTTCACGCCGTAGTAAGGCTGAGCGTGTTACATCCAATTATGAAGTAAAGCATAATGCTACTAATAGCAGCTATATAATTTAGTTTAGTCCTCAAAGACCCTGTTTTAACCCATGAAATTGAAAAATTGTTTTATTCATGATTTGCTTTTTGTTCATTTTCTTTCAAGGTGCCTTTTGATATTTGTTAAAATTGTAATTATTAATTGGGCAAGGAAGTACAGCCTGGGTAAATGGAATTATTCTTAAAGCTCATAACATTCCCCCATCGAAGCAAGTATTGGCTAAGCGCTTTGTGTGTGCTCAAGTACCCTCACGTAACAGACTTGCTTGATTCCGAAATGATCCGGGGCTGGGTTATAGTGTTGCCTTTGAGGGTTGTCAGCTCTTCCCCATTGTGGAAAGGTCTCACAGGCAAGACGCGGCTGGCCCCTGGCCCCTTTCAGCAACGAAGCCTCTGCTTTGGCCTCCAGAGGTCAGCACAGAATCCAAGTTAAAAGTGATTTCTAACCCATATTTACAGAAGAATTATTTATCCCACATATTACCTCAGGGACTTTATAAAGAGCTCATTTGAGTCTCTGTATATTAGTGCATTGTGAGTGAGTAGGTCAGCTGACTGCCACTGAGTAATCAACTTTCCCTTATCCCCAATCCCTGAGGAAAGAATTGAGCTAGCTTGGCCCTCTCTTCCCTCTATAAAATACTTCAATGGGCTCCCTCTATCACTAGGGCAACTGGCAACAAAGGTATGTACAGTTGGGAAGTCCCGGTCAGTGGGTATGGACGGGGAAGTTGGTGAAGCCATTTTCTCGGCATTTTCTAAAATTAGACTAAATAGTAAGGTTGGAGGACCTGTGTTTAGGCTTAACACTCTCACTACTTTGGTAGCAGCAAAAATCCACAAGAATCTTTCTAAATAGACAACAAATCATCTGTACACAGAACAAACTCCATCTAAGAAAACAGAATGAAGTCACCTCAGTGACTGTACCCCCGTCAGTTCTTGGGAGAGTGGATTAGAAAGTAAAGGCTGAATTAGCTTTACGTTCCCCAGCGGAAAAGGGGAAGTGGGCTCATGACTCCCGTCCTTAATAGTGACAGTCTGTCCATGTCACGGTTTGGGAATATGATTCAGAAGGAACGTGCACTTCGAAAAGATTCAAGTTAACATGCCCCAGAGGGACCACCCTGGGAGAGTGTGATGTTGAGGCCATTCATTTTGCTTTAGGGTGGGTGGGGTGGGTGGTGTTTGACTAATTTAAACAATAAAGGAATTGGCTCCATGTATAATTAAAAGAAATATTTTTTATTATTATAATCTAAAAAGGAGTTAATAATTGGCTCATGAATTCCAACTTCAAAAATATTAATTTTGTCTTTATAAATAGCAAATTATTAGTTGCTAGGATAAATGTAAATATAACTTTAAAACTATTCCAGCTGAATGAAGAAAAAGTGTACTTTAGACGTGAGAAACCTGACTGGATTTTAAAATCACAGAAAGCTCCTCAGAACCTCCCTGCGCAGTAGCGACAGGAATGTCACTAGTCTAATTGTTGGAATATGTTCTCCTCAGAGAAAAGAATTTTTGAGTGACTTATTATTAATGTTAAAACCCCTAAGAAGCACCTGGAGAGCCTTTGCAGCGTCTTGGGCCCCACAAGCCTTTGCCTGTGCCCAGATGTTGCCACAGACTCCAGGCAGTGATGTGAAATGCCCACCTGCCTGAATAGTGTGGCATTGGTCAGAGGCAGAGGGTACAGAGAGCAGAAACTTCTGTGTCAAATGACCACTCAGGTGACGATGAATGAGCCCCAGCTCTGCCTTCAGTTAAGTGCCTCACAGTTTATAGAGGTCAAAATGCAGCTGGGGTATTTATGAAAGAACGCCCTACCCACCCCCACCAAAAACAATCCCCATATTAATGTATAGAATTGTGACACTAGTGCCACTGAGAACAACTTTGAGTTGCTTTTCTGTGATTTATTTTTCCAGAACTATATATTTTGGTGTAAAAGTCATGATACTCAACATGAATAATGACTGGTAAAGATCCCTAATTGGAGTCCCCTTACCTTTTTTCTTCCCATTATTGTTTTCAGTTGAAAAAGGAAAACCCGGACATATATGAAGAAAACCTTCATTACCCGCTTCTGCTTCTTTTAACCAAACACGGATAGAAGATTAAGCTTCTCAAAGACGAAGAAAAATATCAAGTGCACAGGGAATATTTTTACAAAAACAGCAATCTGTAATGGGTATAATCGCCTGCCTGCCCCCTTTGCAGCATTTCACGTGTGGGCTATGGCCTCCACCTGTCCTCACCCACGTTATTCCCCAGCTGCCCTCTCCAGCTCCCTCCCTGCCTCTTTTTACACTCTGCTTGTTGCTCTTCCTGCCCTAAACCTTTGTTTGTCTTTAAATATGTATAAACTGCCTATCTGTGACTTGAATTTGACTGGTGAACGACCTATTTTTCCCTCTAATTGAGAGAGAATTTCTTTTGATAATACCCATCCCTCCTTAAATTTTTTTTTTGGGGGGGGTCTTTGTTCTGTTTTGGTGGTGGTAGTTTTTAATCAGTAAACCCAGCAAATATCATGATTCTTTCCTGGTTAAAAAAATAAAGCATATCGTTTTATCTCCCTCCAATTAATTGTATTAAATCTGCCATCCCATTCTCTATCCCTGTCTCTCCTTTTTTTCCTTTTAAACAGTATTTTTTTTTTCCCTATAGATGTATAAGAAATGACTACATCAGCCCAAAGCCTCATAAACTGACCGTTTGTCCTCTGGACACAATAGCGTGGCCAGCCCTCTGCTCCTCCTCCCCAATTATGTGTGATTAGTCTCAGTGTGCTGTGTCAAGGAGGGGGAGTGTGCTGAGTGCTTATTATCTGTTTAGGTACAAGAAGAGCACATTTAGGCTCTGACTATGAATGAAAAGTGAGCCTTTATCAGGGCTTAAATCTGACTGCTGCTGTTCTCCAGGCCTCTTTCAAAATAGGTCCTTCCCAGAGAAATTTTGAATAAATGGTTGATAAACTAGATTGCAACCAGGGGGAGTTTTTTAAAAACTCAATCACACAATTATCTTATTTAAAGTAAGTATATATTGTTATATGCTGTGATTCAAGTGTATGGTAAACATTTAATAGGTGCTACCTAGGATTAAGAGAGAATGACTTTTCTGCAGGGAACCCAAGCTTATCCTTGCCTAGTGCATCCATGAGATGCTCTAATGCCTTTTGTGGAAATTCAGATGTTTATCTGTAAGGAATCATCTGTGCCCACTTTAGCAGTAATGTCATTAGTAGGTTAGCTATATATCCTCATATCTTTAGAAGAGGCAAAAACATGTATTCAGTGTGATACAATTAAAGTGATAGGTGAGAGACTGGGGGTCCATCCTTTTGCATGTTAAACAAACTTAGCTGTCATAAAAGCAGCGACTCTCAAATGTCTTCTCTGCTCACTTCTATCATCAAACAAATTTTTCACCATCAGTTTGCATGTCCTTGTATTCACCACTTTTTCTGCTCCATTAGAGCACCTAGATGGATCTCAGAAGGCATAGGTCAAGTCGCAGTTAGATCATACATTTCTTTCTCACAAAAACTTGAATTGCAATGCCAAGTGATGGGCTAACATCACAATAACAGCAATTTATTCCTCTTTGGATAAAACAGCAGTCTATTCTCAGTGCTAGATAAAGACCAGGGCAATGCAAACCAGCCATTTAGCTGAGTAGTTCAGCTAGTGGCAGCTCTCCTTTGGCGACTGTATAGGTTGCACACTGGCTTCATATTTTCTTGTTTAAAAATTAGAATTTGGCATGTTTTAAAAGGCAACACAAGCCATTCCATTTATACTGGTGAAAATACAGCAAAAATATTTCCTCTGTAAAACCTGCAACTAAACCTGCCAGACAAAGAAAACGCATCCCTGAAGTAGCACCTAAGATGGTCTATTCTTTTTTCTTTTTAAATATGGAACAGCAGGATTATGAGAATATTTTCTTTTTCTCTGAAGAAAATACACGAATTGGCAAGAATTCAATTTGCATTTGTGTGTTGTGGGTGGAGAAATCCAGTGTTTATGTCTCTGGGAGATACTATATTTTAAAAAATAAACTCGGAATGCATTTTTTTTTTAATATCTGAGAACAGTGTTTCAGAATTGAACTGTTGCTACCAAGAGATACCTAGTAAGGAAATTCACTTATTATGTAATTGAAACCTAGAGAATCTCCTATACGATGTAAAGGGTTTCATAGATCTGTTCTTCATGGGATCCTCACCTGGAAATATCTCTAGACCAGGTTCTTTGAAAGTTTGTAAGAAATGTTCTATATTATGGAATAATTTTACAGTTTTTATTTTCCCAAAGTTCAATGCAATGCCGATATTGAAAAGTGAAATAGACCAGCTTTAAAAGTTTATCCATTTACATTTCTTTTGAACTTTATATTTCTCTGTGTCAATTGCAATTGAAATGGCCCATTCCATAATTGCCTATATAATTATGCATGTGTTTGTTTCCGAAAGGAAGCCTGTCTGCTTAGGAAATCCTAAGAATAATGATATTTCTCTTCTTTGTGTACCTTTATCTTCTGATAAAACTCATGATTTTCCTTTGTCATACTAAGTAGATTTGGTTGGATGAACAAATGTTTCTAATATTGCCGATGGTCAGTTCTAATGTGTGAGATGAATAGCTACATACAAGTTGGTTATAAGAAATACATTTTACTTTATAGCAAGACATATGCTGTGAATTGGGATAAAAGTGCTAGAAAAGACTACCTAAGAGGTTGATGCTATTTTGTATAAATTGTGTATTTTGTTGGCTTTTTGACTGAGCATGAAAATGTAAGTTCCATTAGGGAAGGGTAATTTAGGTGCTCAGTATTCAGCAGAAAACTTGTCAGGGCCATAAAAGCTTTTCTGGCTAGTTCCTCGGGTGTTTTCAGAGAAGAGCTGCCCGCCCCTTGCTGATTTTCCCTTTGGCTTCAGTATGGGCTGAATTTACCACTGCATACCTGTTGAATCAAATTGGGGGATCCAGCAGTTAACTGAGTGAATGGAAGGATTAGTTGCCCTCCGGAGCCCTATTTCAACAGCCAGGTGTCTGTCCTAAACTAGTTAACTGCTTTTGACAGCTGAAGAACCTGGTTTTAATACCAGAGGCAGGAGGTGGTGGTGTTTTTTCCCATCTCTCCACTACCAAAGTGGGACATACCTTCTCATGAGGGTTAGGTGGTTTTTGTTTTTTAATAGGAACCCAGCTTCCATGGATTTTTGTCTTTGTGCTTAGTCAGCATTTGACTTGTTTCCAATCTATGCCAGACAATTCATTCACATTGTCCAGCAAGAACCTTTCACTGGACTCTGTGGGGGTGGGGCAGAATGCCCACATAGGGGAGAGAGTCAAAGTATATGTACAAACATATACACACACACACACTCACAGGAAACATTAAGCTATTTAGATCCGAGATGTGGGCTCCAGCCCCCAGATTCCAGGTACATCCCCATCCCAGATCAAAATCCCCTGAGTTCAGGCTGTATGAAACATAATTATGTCGAGTGTATGCCACAGAGAAAAAATGGATTTGAAAGTCAGGCTGATTTTAGGCAGGGTAAATATGTTTTCCTGAGTGGACTATTTCCAAATTAGGAAGGAGCCTGTTAGTGTTTATCACACCATTAAGCCTGAAATGCCACTTTTAATTCTCAGATTTCATTTTACCCAGAGAGCTTACCTTCCAGGCTGTGGCTAAATGCTCACAGTGTTCTCTGCCCTGAAAGTCTGTGCATTTGGAGTCTGTATTTTGCCTTTTTTGTCCCCCTGACTTTTCAATTAATACATTTTTTAATAGATAAAACAGATCATACCGTGACTTTTAAAATGTCAACAAGCTCGTAAACAGAAATGTAATAAAATGGCTAATAGGAGATTCAATAGTTAATAGAGGGCCTGAAGTGTGAGCAAATACAGTAGCTGTATATTGGAAACTGTGCAAGTGAAGATGGCTTTAGTATTACAAACTGAGGAAGAAAATTGTTTTTAATTAGCACCTTCATAAGAACTGCTGATTAATACTGTTTTGTTTGGTGAAAAGCTTTCAGCTGAGTAATTTGTACAGCCATTACAACAGTTTTGTTAGAGCGGGACTCCTGTTGTTAAACACAAACAGCAGATGATAATGGTGGAAGATGAGTTTGTCATGTAACAATTTACCTTATTGAAAAAAGCTTTATATAAAACCCAATACAGTAGGTACCAGCAGAAATCACATATTTTAAATCCTTCCAAAATTGCAGTGTGCCATGCTTATGGTTTTTTTTTTTCCTCAGGGCTAGAAGCAGATTTTATATCATTTATAAAATTATATACACAATTTAAAGGTGGTGTAGCGTGGACAGACCACTTTCTTAGCAGCAGTTTACATTGGAGCAGTAAAGTGGCCGTGTATTCAAACATTTGCTAACTACACAGAGAAGGTGGAAAAATGAAAGCCTAATTAAATAATGTTACTCAAATGTAAATTTGCATTGCGACTGGATGCAGGGAAATAAGAACTGGTGTTTCTGCCTTAGGTGGGTTTAACATATATAGGATCTTTAAAAAAAAAATCTCTCTCAACAGAAGTTTAAGTAACTTTTTTTTTTTTTCCTGGTGATGTTTTAACTGACCCAGAAGAAACTGCTCATTCAATGAGACCTGACCAGGGAATAAGAGGCTGATTTCAGTGAACTCCCATAAAATGGATATTTTGCTAGCCAGAAGCATGGGAAATTTTGTGTGTGTGTGCTTAAAATAAAATCCAATGGTAAAGCATATTTGCATTAAAATATTATGCTAACCAAGGCTGGTAAGAACTGTAAATTATTGGAGTGGCGTAATAGAGCATGAGATTTTTTTTTTTTTTTTTAAGACAGGCCTTCGGGGTAATAACAAGGGTTGAGGCTCACGACAGTGCCAAATAAGCTTTAGACAGCATAATAGTCTGCAAAGAAAGCCACAGAGCACTAATGTGAAGGAAGAGCTGTCCACCACATGCAGCAAAAATCACCAAAGGTCATTTTATGGTAGCAATTGTGACATAAAATTGGTGGTCATGCTACATGTCTAATACTCAGCACAGCTTTATAAATGATGGGCCCCTAGCGATGGCTGTCATTAAGTGCTTTCATCATAATAAACTTTAAACTGTTGGCTTTATGAATCGCCAGCTAGCTTCAGCTGTTCGTTGGATGGAGCTTGCAGTGCCTTAAGTGTGACAAGACCTATTAGGAATTGCAACCATGTTTCAAGCGTACTTGGCTTCCCCACTCCTGGGGTGATTGCTGCCTATTAAACGGCGTCTGGGAAGATTTTCCTCCAGCAATCTCTGATCAAGAGCTTTTTTGGGCTTTGACCTGCATTTCCTTCAAGACTTTCTCTGAGGAGTTTTATAAGAGCAAAACTCCAGAGGATTTATAGCCACTTCTGATTAATACCTTTCCAGTTTTTCTAGCAACTCTCCCACTGCTGCATAGAGAAAAGCTTTCATTGTTCCTGAGGTGCTTATTTGTGACCTTTTTTCTGCTTCCTGATTCCCTCTAACGTGTTCTCTCAGTGAAATCCTCGGGGTGGAACCCAGACAG